AAGCTCCAGAGGTAAGAGCAAGCTCTATTTCCTCGAGTGATCGTCCTTTAGTCTCGACAACATTTCCTGCAATGTAGATGACGGCAAGGACACAGACTCCGGCGAAACCCAAGTAGACACTGCTGATTCCGAATTTAGTCACAACGCTTAAGAAATATAGTCCAATCACAAAGTTCGAGATCTGTTTGGACAAATGAGAAGAAACAAAATAAATATTAGAAATGGAGAGACGAAACTCTGTTCAGAACCATTACAAAACCACATATATAAATTTATACGTACCCAGTGCATGCCGAGAGAAAGAGCGACAGCTTTTGCTCTGATTCGGGATGCGAATATTTCTGGAAGAAGCAGAGCCGGTACCGGGCCAGCACCAAGCGAGAAGGACAATACATATCTGGTTAAACAAGTGAGCATAACAGTTGGTAAAGTCAGATCCAGAGAGACAAAAACGAAGTTTTTAAGAGGAGATTTGACTTACAGAACAGTTCCAACAACGGCAAGGGTGCCAGAATATGCAGCAAGAGCCCTCCATGTGAAGGACAAAGAGAGTAACAGCATCGACAAAGCCTTTTCCCAAACAAAAATCATAAGTCTATGTTAGCCCGATTAAGCACAAAAATGGTAATGCAAAACAGAGATTTGAAAAATGTACCATTCCACCAAAGCTTGTGAGTAAAAGACATTTCCTTCCCATTTTGTCCATCAAAGACGAAGCAACAGCAGTGCCTGCGACCAGATTTTTTTTATTGGGTTATTTGTTTTGGTTATGTTGGAACACAACAGAAACATGAAATAGAAAACGAACCAAAGACGTTTGATGCTCCAACCAGGGCACTGGCTGCAACATCAGATTGGATTCCAGCGCTACGGAACACCGATGTAGAGTAATACACGACTGCATTTATCCCAGCTAACTGTTGAAACAAGAAGAGAGCCGCGCCTACGCTTACAACTACAACAATGCCAGACAAGAAACTATGTAAGTAGATCAACACGATAAGAGGTTTTAAAGGAACATCTTGGCTTAATCCATCTGCTTCTATTATAAACAAAACAATGTATTTCTAGCACGTCTTACGATACCTTTCCAGTATCGGCTGCTGAATAGATCAAACCATCCTGCCTCTGGCTCAGAAGAACCTTGACCAGAGGTTGATAAGTCACGCACTAGCTCAACCACTCTTTCTTTACCATACAGAGTTTTGATCGCCTTTTCAGCTTGAGAGACTTTTCCTTGCTGCAAATTCATTTCCCTGACTAGTCAAAAATTGATCTCAGTTAAGTGTGAGTTGCGTCCCTGAAGAGTACCTGAACGAGCCACCTTGGGCTTTCTGGAGAAAAAGCCATTCCCATGGCCAACAAAACGGAAGGGATAACAGCAACACCAAACATCGTCCTCCACCTAGAAAATCGTCAGATTGAAACTTATATCACCACAGTATGCAGTGAAAAGAAGAAAAATATTGTTCGGATGGATAAAAAAGGATTCACATACCATAGAGGATTTGCTGCAAGGGGTAATCCAGCTATCAAGGCTGCAAGTATTCCTATACATATGAACAACTGGTTCACAGATCCGAGTGCTCCGCGGATTTCAGTTGGTGATATCTGACACAATCATCACACGCCTCAGCTGACATAACATATAAGAAATATCTGAAAATCTTAAGTTAAGTGTGCAACAATTATGAAACTCAGTGTTAAAACAACCTCAGATATGTAAAGAGGTACAATCGCTGATGAAATTCCGATTCCAATTCCTGCAAGTAAACGTCCCACAATCATAGTCTGCACACTCTGAGCTGTTGCACTATGAATCAAAATAGAACAAATGCGTTAAGAAAATCACTAAAATTCCCAACCATCAAGTAAGACTTAGAGCTTGGAAAAAAAAATACCATAAGAAAGCTCCAATGGCAAGCGGTATAGCATCCAATTGAAACGTTCTCGTTCGTCCAAATTTATCAGCTAAAGCACCTCCAGTGAATGAACCGACCGTTGCACCAGCAAGAAGCGCACTAACGATCCATCCTGCTCAGAACCAATCAGAGAGTACACAAATTATGAGCTTTGCTACTAACCATAAAATGTTTATGTGCAGAGGATGAGTAAGAGCAGTCGATCATATACTTGCCTTGCAAAACAGCATTATCTGCAATCCCAAGATCCTTAGCAAGGTATTCAAGAGCACCATTAACTACCCTGATTCAGTCAAATGG